AGATTAACAAAGACATCTTTTCCAAAAACAATCTCTTTGAGAGCTTTTTGCTTCATTTCTCTAAATTCGTCCAATTCAAAGGACTTSAGAGCGTTCAAACAAACATCTTCAAAGCGTATCTCAAAYAACGTCCACCATTTTGTTTCACTGTATGTTAATTAATTAATGATATTCTCCTCGAATTTCCAGGGATAATCCGATGATTTTTCGAGACCGACAAACGTGAAACTCGTGCGTACAGCCGTCAGTGGAGAGAATCGCGGGCTACACATTTTTATTTTCTTTTTTCTTTAGTCAGCCTACCCCGTTGTTGGTCTTCCTGTCGTTTGTGAGGGACAGGAAGCCCGTCAAAGGACTACAGTGCGAAGGACACTATTTTTTTAAGATTTGGAATTTCGAAATATATTAAAAAGTGATCACGGATGGCGGAAGACTCTTTCAATAAACAGTTATTTTAATGATGAGAATTTCGTCGTACACAGACATATTATTATTAATACTTGTTGATTCTTCTGTGCTGCTGGCTGCTTAAGCCGAAAGCTCGGTTAAAAAATATATCAATTTTGCCACTTTTCCGTATATGAAACAGACACTTCAAAAAGGTGGGAACTAGCGATAAACTAGTGTGATCTCCGTAGGTGTTTCTAAAGAAATAGTTGTGTAAAAAGATAAATTCTAAAATATTTAGGATACTACGCGCGCTGTGATTGGTCGAAAACCATGTTTGATTACAGTATCAAAACACGCTCGCRCGCGTCAAAAATTTCTTTTTTTCCCGCCGTTTGCATTTGTTGTTGTTATCATTCATTTTCAAGAACAATGAACGAAGAAATGCCTATTTATGATGTCCTCTGGGATGATATCCCAGAAGAAGAGCTATCAAACATTTTAGAAGCTACAGAACTGAGCTGCAGAAGCTACTTCGAGATTTGCAGAGATAGACGACAGCCACACATCGTATTTCAGAATTCTTTACAATTTTCGTATTCTTTTAATTTTAGAAAAGTAATAAAAGACGAAATTTCGTGTTTGATACTCTGATCAAAACACTTGAGATGTAGGGAGAGCACTCGAAAAGCTGGAAACCACTCCGCTACGCGTCGTGGTTTCCTACGCTTCTCTCGGAATTTCGTCTTCTATTTCTTAATTAAACACCGTAAAAAAGTAGAAGTAACTTACTGTCGCTTCTTTTCTTTTCTTTTACTCCGACGAAGGATTAACGCTAGAAACGTCAGTAAGTTACATCTCCTACTTTTTTACGGTGTTTAATTTGTCTTTTTACACAACTTAAACTTCAAAAATGGTGGTTGTTAACTCTTTAGAGATCCTTAGTGAATAGTATTGTGATTGTCCACTGATATTCAATTCTTAGTCATTCATTGGAAAAGAAGTCTTTGAGCTTATAAGCCCCTTCACTTCATCGACTTAGCAATGCCCGACTAAGAGCCCGACTAACAGCAGAGCATGATGGGAGATCTCACTTTTTATTTCCGTACAAATTTTCCCCTGAATGCGTTGTTGTTAACATCCTTCTCTCTAAATTAATTTCTTATTCGGATTTTTATTCTAATAAAATGAAACAATATAAAGGCCGATTTAGACGGCACAACTTTTGCCTA